ATCCCTCGTTTTGAGTGTCCAGCCCTCTACGCCATATAGCAGCACTGACCATACGTAACACTTAGTAAACCTTAGTCTCAGTTGAAGATCGAACTCTGAACAAGTCAGTACCTTCTTGAATTTTACGAAAGCTTGTCGAGCTTGCTCAATGCGACATTTTACTTCCCTGTCCGATGCCCAGTCTTCAAAAAGCCACGATCCCAGGTATTTAAATTTACTCACTCTTTCTATGGATTTACTATTCAGTGTTATGGTGGAGTTTTCAAGTGCATCCAAGTTTCTGGAGATGATCATGAATTTGGTCTTTTTGGTATTAATCTCTAGTCCCATTCGCTCACTGTATTCTCCGATTATAGTGACAAGTTGTTGAAGATCGACTATGTTGTCACAAATTAAGACACCATCATCAGCATATCGTATGTTGTTGATCAATACTCCATTCACCTTGATTCCCATCTCTGCATCCTCCAAAGACTCTTGAAATATGGCTTCCGAATAAATGTTAAATAAAAGAGGGGAAAGCACACATCCCTGTCGAACGCCTCTTCTTATATGTATGGGCTTGGATATAGAATTGTCTATTTTTAGCTGTGCCGTTTGATGCCAGTACAAGTTTTCAATGCATCTTATGTCTTTTTGGTCTATATAAACTTTCTTGAGAATCTGCATTAACTTGTGGTGTTGGAAACGATCAAACGCTTTTTGGTAATCTAAAAAGCATAAGAACACATCCTTCCTCTGATCGTAACAATTTTGGACCAGCACCTGTGTTGCTACTATTGCTTCTCGTGTTCCTAAACCTTGCCTAAACCCGAACTGGGAATCACTGATGTCCCATTCACATTTTTTGTATAATCTTTGATGTAGTATTTTTAAGAATATCTTTAAAGTGTAACTCATCAGGCTAATGAGTCTGTGATCCTCACATCTTTTTGCATTGACTTTCTTGGACAGGGGAATAAAGGTAGAGCGTAACCACTGTTGAGGATAGCAGCCAGTTTCATAAATTAAATTAAATATTTTGTGTAGTGCTGAAATTCCCCTTTCATCTAGTAATTTGAGTATTTCTGACGGGATCTCATCTGGTCCAGGTGCCTTATTGTTTTTTGAATTTAATATTGCTTTTTCTATCTCCTCTTTGGTGATTGAAGGGCCAGTCAGCTGGTCGTCTGTATAAACTTCACTCATGGGTCTTTCGTCATGGAAGAGCTCCTGGATATAATTTTCCCATATATCAATTTTCTCCTTTTCACACAGCACTATCTGGTTATCCTGATTAACTATGGTAGTTGGTCTTCGTTTTCTGTATATTCCAGCAGTCTCCTTAAGCTTTTTATGTAAATTACGGTCGTCGTGCTGTCTTTGTAAATGTTCTAGATCGATACATTGTTGTTTAAGCCATTCATTTTTTGCTATTCTTATTTTTGCTTTTATTTGCCTGTTAATGTTTTCATACATATTGCTGCCATCTTGGTTATTCTTGTGTCTTCGTCGTTCTTCCATTAGTAATAGTATTTCTTCTGTCATCCATTTTTGCCTCTTGTTATTTCGTTTGTACCCTAAGTTGTTTTTCATGATGTCTGTTACAGCACTTGTAATCGTATTCCATGTTGGTGTTAGATCTTCGGTAATGTTTGTCGTTAATATTTGAATTTGTGCGTTTATTTCATTGCTTATTTTTGCTTGTATCACTGGGTCTTTCAGTTTATCCAGTGCTATATGTTGTTGAGTTTCAGGCTTGTTCTTGCATGAAAGAGCGATCTTTATGACGGCCACTAATAGTACGTGGTCAGAAGGGACATCTGCTCCAGGGTATGTGCAAGCTCTTTTGACAGTTGTGCTGAATCTACCGTTTATAAGAATAAAGTCTATCTGGTTTCTTATTATGTTCAACTCCTTTCATACATATATAAAAAAAAAACATTTTCATCAAAATATTAATTCAATCTTTCACTTACTATACTCCTATTACAGGTCAAATGTTGTTTATATACAGCAAACGATGCACCATATCATATACTTAATTCTGTTTCTCTTTCTGCTCTCTTACCTATAGCATTACATATGTAATGATTGTGCAGATTGACTCCCATATAAGTTTGTAAAGGCGAACGAGTGTATAGAAGTATAACTTCTACCGGTAGTCCCACTGGACTGCCACACTCATTTTTTTTATTATGCATTATTTTCCGAGTTTATTGGCGATTTTTGAGGAATTATTTCTCCTTAGCTTTCGTCTGCAATTGCGGCAGACATTACCAAAAATGGTGCGATAACATTCATAACTGTGTCACGCTAAATAAACCACTTAAAAGCAACGTTACGACTTTTTAAAAAAGAGCGATCATCGACTAATTCTGACAAGAACATAATCATGTATCTGCTGATAAAGAGCATATCACTGTCGTAATAAAGTTTTGCCACATCACCTTTGATACAGTCTGCGGTAGTCGTGAACGAGACATCATCAGAAATAATTCCAGACCACAATCTATAAACCCGGAAAATAATGTATCATTACAAACCATTGCCCGCGAAAGCCCAAATTTCCATTTTTAAGTTGATTGACACAATAAACACAACGAAAAAAGATTTGTAAAGTGTCTATTTGTTTTAACGTAAAATATATGTGAATCTGATGGCCTTGAAAAATTCGTAATTGCAATTAAACCTGCTTTTTCCTAAATTAACTGCAAAATTCCGTAACTAAATAATCTCGCCTAGTTCTTTTTCGTTAACAGTCGTCTTAAAATCACAAAGAGTCTTCTCGACAAAGAAGAAAATTAAAGCAACACTAATTGCATCATCACATAGCTCTGTAAGGTCCTTGCATTTTCAAATACTGTATCACCAAAGAAGGCCCCCCACCTACTATCTCCGCCGGTATCTGTGACAAAGGACAATTCTCTATACTCATAATTCCTAAATTAGAGCACAGAGCCAGCTCAAATGGAAGATTATGTAGAGTCGGGTTATCGTTGATATATAGCGATTCTAAATTCTCGAGGGTGCCGATTTCTTCTGGAAGATACGCCAGATTGTTCTCCCCTGCACTGAGAAATACAAGGTTGGTGAGATGACCAATTGCTCTGGGTAAAGAAGTTAGTTGGTTGGATTGGATGATGAGCCTTTGGAGTTCCTTTAAGTAACCTACTTCCTGGGGTAGCTGCTCCAGGCGGTTTTCTTCTAAATCTAGGACGCGAAGTTTGCGCAAGTTGCCGATGCTGGGAGGGATTCTACGTAGGAGGTTGTTGGAAAGAACTAATACCTGAAAATATTGATTAAGTAAATAACCCCTTTTTTTCATAATTTAGACAGTTATGGTAGGTGCAACATTATAAATTTTAACTAACGCTAAGGTCGTTGTTCTCACAGAAGTACTGCAGTACTAGTTTAGACAATTGCGGCCGGCCAGGTGAAGTCGGTGAAGGTGAGGTTCACCAAAAAAATATAATTAAATTGAGAAAAATAAATCAAAAATAAAAACATTATTATATCTAAATTCTGAAATTAATTATTTATTCTCTTTTAATTAATCTAAAAATTTAAAAAGATAACTAGCTTTATTAGCGGTAAGTACTTGACGGTCAAGTCCTGACCTGTGTCACCAGCCGTGTACGATTCAGGAATAGGTGAATATCATTTTGAACTGCGGAATCCATCTGCACAAGCGTTCACGGTTGCCATGGCAACGTGACGTCAGCCTGTCGTTAGTAATAGCGGAGAACTGGGAAGTACAGATCAATTGAAAAATAGATTATCCGTCTTCACCCACAATATTTTGAAATTTAGTCATATAGATATTTTTTATATAGTGTACCGTTTTTAAATAAAACGAGCGGTTCGAATTTATATAAATATATTTATTTATAACTTTACAGTTCGGTATTCTCTTATCAACTAAACTACCTCAATCATCGTTACTTATATATATATATATATATATATATATATATATATATATATATATATATATACAAATTATTATGTTCGAGAATATTCGGGAGTAGTCCCACCTCTAATTCGTTACTTGACGGGTAGAATTTTACAGCGCCCGATATATCGCCGAATGTTCTGGAAGCCTGAGGTGCTGTTTCGAGATGCAACCGTTATACGGGCCACGTTGAATGCACGTTCGTAACAATAGTATAGTTTATGTAGTGTATTTATTAGTTTAGTTTAGTCACAGTATTAAGTTTATTTGTTTATTGCCCTTTATTAATACATTTTTCTGTGGTTTGTTTCGGATTTCGGATATTAAGTGTTCTTGTGGATTTCGTCTCGACAAAAATAATTTTAGACAGATATGAATCCAATTAATGACTTGGTGTGTAATATATTAGAGACTCCGTTTAGGCATTGGTAAAATAAAGATAAAAGGGATGTTCTTTTACGTTAGAGCCATAAACTCTACATTTTTTTAACGAATTTTTAATGAGATTTTAGCGCGACGTAGGTACCAAAACTCCTTTTGGCTCCAGCAAGGTTTCCTCGTCTTCACCACTTTTTTAGGCCACGAGCCGCCGCTTTAGGCAACTCCTTGTATAATGGGTAACACCAAAAAAAAATCCCACTGTGAGATATAGGGTAAAAAAGATCATGAACTTACTGTTCTTGAACTCAAAATATTTAGTGCTATTTCATAAAATAATAGGGGCGAATGATAACGGATATTTGAGGCCGTGGTGGGAATGTAAGTTCAGGAAACTAGACTACTTCCTGACAAAGTTTCTGATGATATGGTAGTTTTGGCACCTTCACAAATAGAATAGGCAACTCTGCCTCGGCAAAGGTGGGGATATAAACTAAAGAAATAAGAATACGCATTGAAAAAGCCAGAGCCGTCTTCTATAAACTAAAGAAAACAGGGACATTATATTAAACTTTAATATCATACTAATACGCTGTTACATATTCTCCACATTGCTGCATGGCAGGAGAGGAGAGCTGTAGTCGTCGAAAGAACAAGAAAGAAAAAATATATAAAATAGATATCTTACCTCTAAACTCTGCAGACACTGTATATCATCTGGCAATTTGGTTAACTGATTTGTTCCTAGATTCAATTCAACCATATTTGTCCATGTTCCGACGTCAAGCGGCAAGGAAGTGAGTTGATTTTCTTTCATATTTAATTTTGTCAAATGTTTGGCTCTTGAAAATATTCCATAAGGAATTTTGTCAATTTGGTTGTGTTCCAAATTGACAGAATCCACATTGACGAACTGCGAAGGTCCTAAAGATGATTTAAAGACATGTAAACATAGTAAATAAATTAAGCAAACATTTTTTTTTTCATAAAACAGATACACTGGGGTGCAAAATTAACCGGACACTCAGATTTTTACTAAACACTGGCGTTTAAAAAATAAGGGTTTGCCCTTTTTCAAGAGCATAATTGTATTGGCTACTTTCCAAGGTGATGGGAAGTAGCACAGTTTAAGAGTGGCATTGATACTTCTTCGTCAAGTTCCACTCCTATCGGAGATTGGAAATCATTCTGGCAATTATAATTTTATTGGTTACTCGCCTGAATAGTTCAATTGAACTGCATCCAAACCATTCACGGAGATTGCGTAGCCACGAGATTTTACGTCTTCCTACGCTTCTTCTACCTTTGATTTTACCCTGCATTATATTCCTTAGTAGTTCATACTTTTCACCTCTCATGATGTGCCCCAAGTATTCCAATTTCCTTGTTTATATTCGTCAAATAGAGGGTGACACTCGGTGGAAGTTTTTTCACGCATTTCCTGGCAATGTTGTCAGGTCCTGGTGCATTCGATTTGCCAATTTGACAAACATTTTTGAAGGTTTGTTGATCAACAGGAGCCATGATGGGATGATCATGAGGTGCTTGCGGATCGAAGGGGGCACCGAGCTGTCGTGTGATGTCTCTTTCGATCCTTGTACAGAAGGCGAGGTCAAATCTAGCATTATTAGGAGAGATTAATGTATTTTGTAAATGAGTTTTGAAGGCGTCGGCCTTCTGTTGGTTTGAATTTATGATTTGATTATTCACCACAAGGTGAGAAGGACTATTGGTTTTCTGTTTAATTAGGCATCTGAATTTGTGTCAGAATTAAGCACCTTTGCGATAATCAAGACTAGAGGTGGCCGCAATTCACTGACGGGACTGCAGATCATTCACCTGCAACTTGATCACCGCAGACAGGCGGTTATATTCTGTTTTGACAAGTGGGTTTCGGGTGCGTTGAAACTGACGTAGGAGTCTTCTCTTTTGTTTAATATTGTTAGTGATATATTGAGGTAGAGGTGGTTTGTTAGGGTTAACAACCCTATTAGAGACTGATAAATCAATCGCTTGGTTTATCAGCTCAGTAATAACCGTGATACCTTGATCGATATCATCAGGATGTGTTAAGTTGCCTAACTCAGGAGTGTTGACTGATAAAAAGGTACTGTAAAGGTCCCAGTTGGCATGATTATAGTTTCTTATTATTTTTACGGGGTTGGAAGGTGGAGGGTTACATATCTGTTCTGGAGACAGTACAAAAACCTACAGTCGAACTAATAACCAGGTATAGTACCACAATAAACTTAAATTAATATGAAGCTACTATTTCACATCAATAACAAAACATATGTGTAAAAGTGTTGTTCTCACAAAACATCTAAACAGGTTCAAACAAGAAAACAACTTTATCGCTAATAAGGCATAAAATACAATTCAAAAAAATAAACAAGTTTTGATCTAAACACCAGCAAAAAAACAAAAAAATTTGAGTGTCCGGTTAATTTTGCACCCCAGTGTAATATTTTCCTGATTGAAAAAGTTATCTAACTGATCAACATTAGATCAGATAGAATATATCAGAACACATAATGTAGGTTGAGTTCAGACATAGATTAAGTTTATAAGAAGAGCCAGATAAAATAAAAAATTACCTAGGAGCACCGAAAAAAATTCAATAAAACAAATTTTGACAAATTTTATTTTTGATTTTTGTATCACACACAACTTATGTAGGTACTACAATGGTAAAACAAAACTTTATTCATTAAATCGATTTCTAATGCTGTTTTTGCGAAGCTTCATAGTAGAACAAACAGTTCACTTATATAGAAAGATCCAAATATCACAATTATCTCCTGATCATCGTATGATCAGATTTAATGTTATGACTTCTGCGCTCCCCGATCCTGAGCTGTAACACCATCGTACCTAGAACTGACAGTGGACTACGGCTGAGAGTATCTCGTCTCAACTCTATAGAACAAAATAGACAGCTAGATAGAAATCAAAAGAGATTCCTCAGAAATGAGTGACTCTTCTGAGCTGAAAAATAAAAATATAACGGGAACGATCAGTGGGATACATCCCCGTCTCAAATATAAAATCGCGATAGTTGTTCATCACCTGATGCATTTGTTTAAGCGATAATTAATGATTGGACTTCCTGTGGCTATCGAAATACTTTATCACTGTTTCGTATCAATATATACAAGGTTATTTTGTTTATTTATATTTTTCAAATTAAAATGTTTTCTTAGTTTAAAAAAGTTTAATATAAAGTTGTCAAAAATACTTGATATATAAGATGAACAAGGATAGGAAAGCGGAATGTCTTGTAACGATGCGGTCTTCGTAATCTGCAAATAATTGAGAAATCTATAAACCCGCTTGCATAATGCATATCCTTCGTTAATTTAGAAAGGCATCGGCAGAGTGAGACTATCAGACGCTGTACATCTTGAACATAATAGACAAATACCATTGGATATTACAAAACTGAAGTAGAGGTTCAGGCAGAGATAACAACTGGAGTCAGACAGGGAGACCCACAAACCTCATAAGATGATAAAACGGTACCCTCTTAATAAACAAAAGGGAAGTTTACACAAAGAACGATATTAAAGTCCGGGCTTCAGTCTGGTAGAGGTATCTTGGTCGGGGTTCGACATGGCTAGACTAGAGAAGATAAACGAGTGAGATAGAGAAAGAAACACGAAAGGGAAGAGAATTTTGGGCACCACCCTATTTTTGAAATGAATAGGGAAATCTAGAAAATAAGGGAATGGACAGAAAATAAGATAAGAACGATAACGGAAAAGATACGAAATGACGAAAACGGAAAGAAAATAAGACAAAAACAATATGAAAAAGATACAGAAACAAAATACTAACCAGGAGTTTAATTATATATAAGGCTAGTACACAAATAAAGTAATAGCTTTCGAATATGTATAAGAGCTTAAATTTTCTCTAAAGAGGAATGACCGCTTTATCGTTTCTAGTACTTTAAGAAACCAACGGTCACGGCAGTTTCCCTTCGGAAACATGTGCAAGAAGTGAGAAATATAAACACTTGACTTAAACAATGCAGGATTGGAGTCATGTATTGTTTTCCGATGAATCGAGATTCTGTTTTACGGGCTCAGACAAATGTTAAAAGTGTGGCGACATCCAGGCGAGGGATACGCCCAAGCATGTGTTGCCGAGAGACTTCCATTTGGTGCAAGGTCAGTTATGGCATGGAGGAGGCATATCGTTTGATGCTCACATGGAGTTAGTCTTTATCGAGAATAGGAAATTGACTGATTTGTTTGGCCTGCTTGCACTACAGATATCAATCCCATAGAGCATATGTTTGTTTCATCTTATCACAAACATATCCCATATGTTTATGATATGTAAGATAAAGAGACATTTAAGAAGTTATGTGCCGACAACCAGATATTCAAAAGAGCTTAATGACATATTGTTGCAGGAATGGAACAATCTTTCACAGAATGTGATCCAAAATCTGATACAAAGAATGACTCGTTGTTTGCAAGCTGTTATCACTGCCGGAGGAGGGAATACTCGCTACTGAAGTTCTTACTTTTTTCTTTCTTTTATTTCAACAAAATGTACATCAAATTAAAATTGTCTTTTTTTAATATTTAGTATATCAAAGAAAATTCATTTTCATTACTTTCAATAAACTTTGAAGGACACAAACATTGTTTTCTTTAAGCAATCCGTAAACTATGTTACAACCACAGGAGGAAGGTCAAATAAAATCAGTTTTAGACTTATTGGAAACTAGTTACAGTCAAATCACGTAGTGGGCAAATCCCCATGCTTTTACACTGCCGAGATCATAGAACAGTTAAAAGCGCAATCAGTTTCAGACCATAGTCATAGCACAGTTGCGCCGTAGATGCTGGACCTTATGTCCAACTCAGCTAGTAGCAAGTCAGAAAGTAGGATTAATTATCAATATAATATTTGAAAAATAATATTGGGAAAAAGAATTGTTATAATCATTTTTATGGTTTGTAATTTATTCAAAAAGATGTTTTGGATTTGATTAAATTTTAGTAGATAAGTCATAAGTTGAGTAGTTTAGAAATAAATTGCACCCACATGTCTAATTTTTCAATGGTCTTAAAATTTAGCACTTACCTCCTGATGGATAAGCAGAAAAATTATTTCTTGAAAGAGTGATATTAGTAAGTTCACTTAAGCTCGATAACAGTCCTTCTGGTAATTGAGAAATTGCATTTCCTTCAACATTAAATTCATCCATATGTTTACAATTGCTCAATGATGGAGGGATTTGGGTTAACCTGTTGTATCTACAAAATTAAATGTTATTAAAGGATTTACACATATTTTTTCTATAAATATATATTTAAGTATAGTTATTTGGCTCTATAATTCTGAAGTCTTAAGAAAGATAACTATAAATATGTTCATTTCCGTTTTTTCTTGATATTAATTATGCTAAATAATTTTAGTAAATTATCAGGTATGCAGCCTGTTATTATTTGTAAATAAAACTCTGGTTTTTCTTTAGGTCTCAATATTCCACTAATTATTTATTGGCGTCATAAGGAGAAAACTAAAAAAAACCTAAAGAAAAACAACAGAGTTTTATTTCCAAATAATAACAGATCACATACCTGATAATTCACTACAATTATTTGTTTACATTTCAGTTGATAATTGATATGATGAATAAAATAAAACAAAATAAAATAAATCAAATCAGTATTCCAAAATAGTTCTAACCATGGACGTATAATTATTTATGCGTCCATGGTTCTAATTAAGCAACAATACACCAATCTTGTTGAATTAATTGAGAAATACTTGCAATTCCTAGTAACGAAACCAAGAAGTTTAGATGCCTTTATTGAAATAGAGTTTATGTGGTCACAGAAAGTAAGCTTCTCATCGAAAATAACACCCAAATCCCGAATAGAAGAAACATAATTCAGTGGCTGATTATTAATAGTATAGCTTGTTCCAATTCTATTAATTTTACGAGAAAACTTACAAAACAACATTTTTTACATTTAAGTGGAATTTGTTTTGATTGCACCAATTTTGTAATAGGTCTAAGTCATCTTGTAGCAAGGCTTGATCTTTTAAACTATCTATAACTGTCCAAAATTTCAGGTCATCTGCCAACATTAGACATTAGCTATTTAGGAAACAGGAAGTGATGTTGTTAACAAAATTATTAAAAACAAGTAGAGAAGTGTGGCCTCCTTGAGGAACTCCAGATGTTACTGTGATACTGTTAGACAGATGACAACCTACCTCGACTATTTGACTTCTCCTAGATGTAGAGTTTTTAATCCATTCAACAAACATGACATGAAAGCCTACATTAATTAATTTGCCCAAAAGTATTTGGTGATCTACAAGATCAAATGCTGTGGAAAAATTTGTATATAAGGCATCTACCTGTTTACAGTCTTCCATATGAGATAAGATATCAGATTGATAGCAAACCAAGTTTGTTGCAGTGGATTTTTTGATGAAAACCATGTTGTGATTGAGCCTGTCAAAGAGCTTAGGGACTGTAGATTGTATACAAATGCTACTATAATTTTCAATATTGTCTTTCTGACAATTTTTAAATATAGGAACAACATAACTTTCTTTCCATGAGACACACTTAAAGTCTGTAAGTTCATAAATAAATTAGCTATGTCTTGACCATTTGTTGCAGATTGGACTTGATAAAAATGAGTTAGGTTAGTATTTTACTATTTTACAGCTGTGATTAGAAAATAACAATCACAACCTGTGAATAACAACAAAAATATACTGTGACTTTGATCTCGGTTGCTGCAAATTGGCTTGATATGAGATAGAGGTAGTTGGGGGTATTATGAAGTCTCTTTCAAAAGAGGAATGCAAAGACAAAGATAATATTATATCGTTTTTGGAGGAATATGAACTAGTTTAGTGTAATATTAGTATGTAAACAAATATTTGAAGAATGTGAACAGGGTATCTAGAGTTTCAGTTTATTGAATTTGTGTAACTTAATTACTATTTAACTGGGAATAAGCCACAATTAAAGATAAAAATATGTTTATTGACGTTTCAATTTCTACTTTGGAAATCGTTCTCAAAATACAAATGTTTTGTATTTTGAGAATGATTTCAGAAGTGGAAATTGAAATGTCAATAAACATATTTTTATCTTTAATTGTGGCTTATTCCCAGTTAAATAGTAATTAATTTAAAATGCCACAAGAAAATAGCTTCAGAACAATATTTGTGTAACTTGTAGTGTTCATATAGATATTCAATAATTTTTATTTCATTTTAAAAATGCTACCAGTGCCAAATAAAAAACAGAAAATTAAGTAGTGGGTTATGGAACTTTTTATATAAGTGGATGATAATTATGTGTCATGCAATATTTGTAAGGCAAAGTTGTCATACAAAACAAGCAGATCTAATTTAAAAAAGCACATGCTAGTAAAAAATCTGACCATATTGAATATATACCGAAATATAATATGTGTAGAATTTTATGATGGTCCATAAATTTCCACTTTTTATTCATAGTTTAACATACAACTATTTCGTTGTTCTGTTAAATCACAATCCCAGATAAAAATAACAACAAATTTAAAATCACGATTTCAGTTATCCTTATGATTGCAGAATCACAGTTTAGCTCACCACTAGTACAGGGGTCACCAATTAAATTTGGATTTGAAGAGAATAAATATCATAAATATGAGTCAACTACTGACTAAAATGTTAAAAATTATGCAGCTTGCAAAATTTTGTTTTGCATTTGAAATGCACAAACAAACAAAAAGATCACAATAGGAACAAAAAGAGATGATGCACTTTATTCAAATGTTAGATGCTATTAGCTTTGCTATTATGTACCCCAAGGTCAGACACCAAATAAAACTTGCCAAACTGTATACTAAATATTTAAGCACACATTTTGGTAATATTTTTTTATTTAATATCATATAGGTTGATTATCTATTCTAATTTAAATTATATATATTTTATATTCTGAAAAGCTGCAAAATCTACTTCACACCTATCAAATTTAAAAAATTTTGCAGAACATGTGCAATTAAAACTACATTGTTTCTATTCGTCTTACCTTAAACCTAGTCTTGTCAGTTGTTGCAGTTGCCCTATGGTATCAGGTATATCTAATAGTTCATTATGTTGTAAATCTAAAGTAGATAAATCCACACATTGTCCAATCTCCACTGGCAAATGCTCCAAATGATTGTGAGAAACATCAAATGTTAGCAAATGAATCAAGCAACCAATACCTGGGGGTAATTCTCTGATCTTGTTTTCCCGGAGACTTAACATTGTTAATGAAGTTAAATTTCTAATTTCATCTCCTACATATCTTATTCTATTAAATCGTAAGAACAGGGTTGTTAAGGAGGTTAGCTTATATACAACATCTGGTATATCATTCAATTTATTGTGTCTTAAATCTAAAACCTTCAATGATCTTAGATTTTCAAGGGAATCTGGTAGAGAAGTCAAAGAATTTTCACTTAATGCTAATGTTTGGAGGCTGGTCAAGCAGCCTATCTCATTTGGCAAACATACAATTTTATTACCATACAAGTAGAGCTCAGACAAATGATGTAGATCCCGAACAGTAGGGGGTAACAAGGTTATGTTGGATTTACTTAAATCTAAACGCTTTAAACCATCTTCTCTACACCTTATAAATTCCTTAGATACATCTAAATCGGCCTGAATCGGCTGCTTGTTCTTTTTGGCTGTAGGTTTTAGTTTATTGGACTCTGGATGTTTGACTGTCACCACCTTGGGCCTTGTAACATCTCCCGCAAGAGATCCAGAAGAGAACTTTTTCTTACTAACATGATCCAAGGTTCCAGAGGATTCAGCTTCAGGCATGTCTTCAGATGAAAGCAAGAGATCCCCACTAGCTTGTGACATTTTCTGCTTCCACTAAAAGTTAGCCATTATGTTTTGTTTACAAGTGCTGTAAGTCGTATTTGAAGGTGTGTAAGGTCATATCGTAACACTACACTGTGTCTGAGTGGAGTGATAGTATTTTATGTCAGTTTTGATTTAATACACTTGATCAAGAATCTATTTTTTCTGATACAGGTGCAACAATAATTCGAAGGACGACCGTGCCTCCGCCCATATAAACACTTTACATGGATTATGGAAGGTTCTCACTTATATGAAGTTAGTAACATAACTCTAGAGTTGTTAATAAAGGAACGATATCGGTTTGATGGAACTATTTAATAAAAGCACAGGATTAGATTAGGTACTCATAAATTCCGTCTTTGATCTTTTCAACATAAGGTCACTTGGGCGTGATTTGTATTCTCACGTTAAACTATTCTAGTATAATCCTAATATATTACCGGTATCAAATAGTCTGCTTTAATAACCACCATTGTTAAACTTTTCCAGCAGTTCTCTCCACACGCGCCTGCTGTGAATATTTACTCTTATACAATTCTGAATAAATAAATAATACACCCCTTTTGATAATTATTGTTTAAAATCAATAATTGTTTAGTTTTCTTTTAAGTAACAAAGTACAAATTTTATTAAATTTTGAATATAACCAGATAATTTATCATTCATAAACTGTGTGTGTCACCATGATAACTTTTATCTCTCAATCTTTGGATATAAAACCAGGCCTTATGTTCGAAGATTTGAATTTACCTAATTGTATTGAATTATTTCCTTTAATTTACTAGAATATTCTTTCCAACGTGTTGTGTATCAACAACTATTTATTGATTATATTTTCTACCTGCTTAATCTATTGCATGGGCCCAGATATTTATTTATCTATTTATATTTATTTATATCTTCTATATTGCTCTAAGCCGGCAATTGGAAATTTTTTACAAATATCTAAGAATAAAGTGTTTCACTTATCAAAGTGACAGTCACTTATTTGGAGCTACTCATAAATGCGATACGACATATTCGATTACTTTTAAAATCTGTTAATTTCTCGATTCTCATATACGAACAAAATACTTATAATTTTGGACAATTGGTCACCTGTATTTCTTTTGAACTACATAATCAATTTTGTTTTGTTACCTTTCCTGAACTTTTTTAATTCTAGTTTTACGATTTACACATTTTGGAATGGAACGGGAACGTCTCGAATAATTCTCCTGGTTAGTAACATCTCTAGTTTGAAAGTCTCAGACTTATCTGAAGTTAGTAATAAATTCCAAGAGAGACACCTGCGATAAAATTAAAAAACTCTCCGAATATTCATGAGAGCAGTTTTGTAAATTAATGTTAAACTTTATTTTGAATATTTAAAACGATTCTAAAGCATTTTAGCCGTTTAATGATATTCTTTCGACATATAGACAGTGCCATTATTGAGACTAAGTACCTACTTATAAAAATAATTATTTTTAATAACTGTCTCGATATTTTAAATGTAGTATCTATATAACTCATTGTGAAATAATTCAAGAATATGGTCAAATTGCACTATATATTTATCTATATTATATTCTGTAATAGTTTTTAACAACAGTGAATCTAGGTATTTATACATCATATAAAATGAATATTTATATTTTAAAAAATCATTACAATACTATGAATAGTTCGTGATCCGCCAATGAAACATCGTACAGAAAGTCTTTCTTTGGAGATTTTTTTACATGTTCTATGGTTGGAATCATTTTGGGTACATTTTTACATTCTTGCCACATTATACATAATTTGAGTAAAGATTTAATTAAATCTTAATTGTCTGACTCATTTTCAAGAATTTAAAGTTTGTAAAGAGGAAACAAAAATAATATGATAGATATATGTCTTAGGCACTGCTTTTAAAAATTATTTTGTAAAGTAGATAGGTATCAGTTATTTTCAAGCAAATACAATTACATATTATAATGATTTAATCCATCTTGAAATATATTTTAAATTTAATTTGGACCTTTACAACTGAAAAGTGTTAGAAAAACCTAGTTTAGCTTTTATGGCTTCGCTGTTTCACTTATTCAGTGCAATCTCTTCGCATCTTAAATATCTCAGTTGTTTTATTTAACAGAAGTAAGGGGAACTTTATGAAGTTGCCCTCAAAAAGTAAATGGAAAAAATAACTAAAGCGTATACCTCGACGGAAATTCATGCACAGCAAGTATAGAATTTTTCATATAAAAATGATTGCACGTCATTCAAGATTTACGACGCGCGACGTCAGAAACCCACAGCATTGCCAAAACATCAGAATATACATAGTTAGTAAGTGAGGAATTTTTAAAATGTCAACTATTTGTCAAACTATATTAACAGTAAATACACTCAGATTTAAGATTACTGCAACACACTAAAATACATAAGAAAACATTTTAATACAACATTATGAATTCTAAATTTGAAACTTATCTCTCTTAGAGGCTTAGAGCATTAATAGAAAAAAACGTCCCGCCCTTATTTCTTGTTCAAAATAGTCTATCTTATATGAACGCTTATCAGCGTTCTACTGACTATTACTACTGACCATAATCACAATACACAACACTAATTAGTTTTTAAAGCTATTAATCTAAATTTAATATGTATTTATAAATCAATTTATTAATATATAATATATTATGATCAAATCACAATCATCAAAGAAATCAAAACATAAACAAAATTCTTACTCTAAAAAAACGGCAACACTTTAAACAATTTTGCCACACGCTAAACTGTCATTAAAATTTGAGTATAGACTTGGAGTTATTTCATAAAATTTATATTATTAATAGTAACAAATGTTTTTGGTTATTTAATTAATATAATTCTAAAATTCCCAATATAATGATGATTACATTTTTCTGATTATTATACCATGTTGACGCCTATGAAAGATCGAGCAGTTCCGTATAGGTTTCGTATTATTAGCTGTGTTAGGACAATTTGAATGTGAGTTTTTTAAAAGTTCTGACAAAAGATTTGATTACCCGGAATCTTCAAGTCTTTTATCGTTTTTAGAACTAGAAACGTTACGTTATCTGATGCTATTATTGAGGGTAAATTATTTAGCAAGCAGTAATGATCTACTATCTGAGTACAGTGACAGCTTTAAGCCTTTGGACATCATAAATAGCAAGTTTGGATTTTTGAATCGCGTTCGAATTAAAGAAATGCAAATACAATATCTAAAATTAAAAGCAAAATAATTAGAAAGCATTTACATTGCTTATTTCAACATTAAAGAATTTAAATTTGACATAGAGAAATAAAAAGTTTTAAGTACCACGCTTTATCATTTGACGAAAATTTCAAAGAAAGTAACATCAAGATATCAAGATATGTGTTGTCTTTGTCTTATTTACAAAAATAAACTAAACTGCTCACTCTGTAAGACGCTACCACAGAATAATAAACAATCAGAATGCCCACTCTCCATGGAAAATAATAATATAATTAAACATAAATATAAACAATTACAGTCTGTATTATGTGTTTCCTTCTAAAACATATTTCATATTTGAACTTGAAGGTTCTATCCGATGCCATATCCTCATTCGTTCGGAGTTAAAACATTTCGATGTTCTGATTTCAAAGATAGAAGTTTTGAATGGACAATATTTAAATGACAAATTTGTTTACAAATCATTCTGCTATTATTTTTTTTAATGTCTGTTAGTCTTCGCATTTTCGAGATGTTTTATGTACTTTTCAAATTTTATTAAATATCGCAGAATACGTATGTTTAGTTGCCTAACACATGATCTTCGTATCTCAAAATATATGTATTAACAAAAAATATAAGTTTAAAAATGTTCTCGTCATTTATTAACTACAGCTACAAATGATCTTTGCAGATATTTAGAATAAGTATTCTACTTAATCTTATTAAGATAAGGTAGCTGTCACCAATTTTTATTTCATATATTTTTTAAAAGTGACATTTCAGAAAATTTCTGACATTATCATTTGGCGTATGTCAACCTAAAACAAGTTCACCAATATTATTAGCCTGGCAAATATTATAATTATGTTTCGTAAATGTTATATATAATTTTAACAGTATTTTTTTAAATAAAATTTCTTGATACATTTGTGTGACACATTCATATGGGTTTACCCAAAAATACAAATATAGAAATTGGGAGTAATTGGAATGAGAATTTTAAGTTGGTACATTTGCAAGAATTTTCAGTATTTATTCTACATAGAGGTGGCCGATTCGTTTATATTTTTAATACTTTTGTGATTTTTTTAGTATTTTAATTTTCAAATAATTGCTTCAATAAAAGAAATAGATCATTGTTGTTAACAAATAAAGAGCAAATTTTTATACATAATATTATTAGATATATAGTTGCCGTGATTGTAGAATCAAACGCAAAGTCATGGTTAGAACAAATTTTAAAATCAAAATAACGAAATATTTTCTAAACAATATTTCTAATTATTTAATATATATAATAATATATAAGACGTGGTTTTTTATTAAATGGTTTTAAGTCATACATGATCTTTTAAGATGAAAATTTGACCTTTCTTGCCCATTTCGCAAAATTTATATCGAAGGGTTTAATAATTCAGTCATATTTATGTGTAAGTAAGTGAACTATATTATTTTATTGACCTTTATTTAAAATTTGTTCGCATAATTTTTTATTAATGAATAAAATAATAAAAAATATAATAAAGCGTTTTATTTTTAAAGTTTTAACAAACATTCTATTGTTTTCAAATTCACAAAATCAGAAAAGTTTTTACGGTATGATATTGTTTACTATTTATAAAATATTACCTATATTTTTATTTATAGTCGTGTTACTTTTAATTATAGTAGTGTGCGTACGCAATGTATGTGGAAGGTTTAATTAAGACAATTTATTGTATAGAAAGCTTTATATTTTCTTATTCTTGTAAATACTTGAAATATTCCATGTATAATATTATCTTTGAAATCAATCAAATAATGAAACACAAAGATTATTGATGAAGGTTTCTGTAACAGTTATATCGGCGAAAAAATCACCGCTCTTTAAATATCGTCCATCCCTAGTTTTACGCTAGGGTTTTTTCATTTATCAGTGCGGGAGTGGTGCTTCATGCTCGTATGATTGTCGTGTTGTGAGATGTGTAGAGCGATGTTTCGGTAATTGTATGGAAAAGGAAAACCCGTGTTTTATCAAAAAATGTACACAACTCAAATCTAAAGTGATTTTCTAAGTGAGTGTTAGTTCGAAAATTATGTGCGTTGATTAGTGGTAGACATGTTTCGGTGCATACCCATTTTTAAAGGCTGTAACAGGCAAGTGGAAACTGTTGATAAGAGACATTGTTCTTTAATAAATGTTCCCGAGGAGATATTAAGGTATTCTAGGAGTCTAGAGGAGCTACTTTTAGACTCCAATAGAATACAAGTTCTTCCAAAGGTGAGTGAACCCAATTATTATTAAATTTAATGTTTTTAAAAGGAATTTTATTCATAGCAATGAAGAGGGGATACATTTTTTAATGTTTCTTTATTTTTCCTAATACATTCACGTCTATTTCTTCTTTTACTATTTCGAGCAATCGTATAATATATAATGTGTTTACTTTTTATGCTCGTTTTATTGTTATTTTGCAATTTTAATTTATAAATTATTACCTGTTATACTGGTAGAGGTAGGGTAATGTCAAAAGAGTTAAAATAATTTTATTTAAAATAGAATTTGCTCCAAACATCATATGAATATTTATTAGCTTAAGCAATTATGTGATGTTAATTTACATCCCACTCCTACCTTGTTGATAACCTATGACTGCATAACAACTGGATATTCTATGATGAATATTCCTCATAAATTTATTTTTACTGCATCAGTTGACTTTGCTGGCTAGTCTGCCTAAGTATGTTTTAAAGTAGCTAAACTTTTCAAATGTAAGAACAGGATATTTAAAAAGGTATACGTACCTATTAAAAAGTATATTTCTTGGTAATATTCATTTTTATACCATGAGGCAATAATCTTACCAAATCTGGGGTCTCTGGCCCAAGGGTTTGTAGTCATTCAGTGCATTAATATGCCAAGTGTGTACAAAATTTTGTATTAGTTATATTACTTTGTTGTTGCATTCACAATATAAATATGTAAACAAATTGTGACAATTCAATTTGATTTGATTTTAGCTGACACTATCTTTCACAGAGAAATGCTATCAAACCTAAGTCAAAGTATGGCAGAGTTAAGTAATAAGGCATTAAAAACGTTTTTATGTTCTTATGTCAACACAATTTGTAATAGGGAATAATTTCTCGAAATTTAACTAGGTATAAAGCTTTTTATTGATATGTTTTATACATTATACAGCCATATTGTACTGTAAATTCCATCTACAAATTCCACTTTTAAAAGTAGAAAATCATCATAACTGTTTCTTTCTCTTTAATTCAAATAAGTTCTATTTGTGTTCAGCAGCAAATATTGAGGAAAATTTGTAACATGTCTCTAAGTGAAAATGAATTAACCCTTAACTACAAACATTCCATTATTACCACTTACCAACAGAACCCTGGTATTTTTTACTGGTCGTTATAAAATGCTGTCAAAGTTAATAAAAAAATACATTATGTATTTTTCTGTAGTCTAGATATGGGAGCACTGGTGAAATGGTCGATTTTAATAATAAAATACAAGATTTTTAAAGAATAATCTGTTAAACGATAATTTTCTTAACATTTTTGGTCTATTAAAACAAACAGCCATAAATGCTATGAACAAAAATTTAGATTTAAACACATAAACCTAATATAGAATCATAAAAGAAACATAAAATAGCATTTACAAAAATCTATACATCCATGAGAAAAAATCGGCAAGAGGTAAAATTAGAAAACATATCAGAGGCTTGCAGATTATGCAAATATAAGTGATTTTTCTTTCTTCAGTGATTCAGTATCATGGTCTGTTGGTAAATACCCTACACCTGAGTCCACATCACTTGTGCCAGAATCAATTTCCTCACTCTATTTTTGCAAAATTTCTTCAAAATTTTTATTACCAAATTTAACCCTCTTTAAAAGTCCAGGATGACTTCCAGAGTCCATTTCTTTACTCTCTTCCTAAAAATGCAAAAAATATTATAAACAGTTCACATTTTACAAATATAAATTTAATAGTACACATTAAATATAGTTACTTAAAAACAGATCTCCGGTAAATTTTACCCAACATGTCGATAGCTTTGATTAGCACTGTTATACAAACTGCCTAACAGCCTGAGAGGTACTGAGATGCTTGAAACTGTGGGTGGTGGGGTTACCAAGAAATCCACATTTTGGGACCACATACAGGTAATAATGGTGTAAATGTTAAAACATTATATATTTATATTATACAAAGAATGGTTAAGTACAAAACATCTGACATTGTATATATTGACAAGTAGGCTAGTAGAACTGATTTAGAAGCAGGTAAAACTACCAGAAGACTGGAACATAGTGATAATTTGTACCTATTCACAATAAAGGAGATCAAACAATTTGTGATAACTACTTAAGAATTAGCCTTCTAAATGTGATCTACAAAATATTTGTGTAAATTCTTTATAATCGACTTTCAGGATATTGTTAAAACATAATAAGCAAATACCAGTGTGGTTTTCACAAAGAATTATTAACTATTTATCAAATCTTCCTTCTAAGACAAACTTTAGAAAAAACATGAGTATGCAATGGATACTCACCATTTGTTTGTGGATTTTAGATGTGCCTATGACAGTGCAGACAGAAGCGCACTATACAAATCCATGGTAGAATTCAATATCCCATTACACTTAATGAAATTGGTGAAATCATTCCTCGCAGCAGTTGATTGTAAGCAGAACAGAGTATCAACAATTTTTAAGACAAAGATAGGACTTCAACAGGAATATCCTATCATGCCTTCTATTCAACATTGCTCAGAGAAAGCTATTAGTGAATCTGGATTAACAACAAAAAGAACCACTATTAATATACTAGCATATGCAAATAATGTAGCATATCACACATAACAATATCTTAACAATCCAATCGTTCACAACATTGGAAGCAGCAGAAAAAGAATGAGCTACCCATTAATACCAATACAACTAAGTATATGTAGGTAACAAATAATATGCAAGAAGCAAAACCCAAAGATCTCGCAGTTAGTTAAACATATACTTTTTAAGAAGTGAGACAGTTCATATATCTAGGCTCACAAATCAGCCAAAGTAATACAGTATCTGCAGAAGTTAACAAACATATACATCTAGCAAATCGAGCATACTGTGGAGTAAAGAAACTTTTAACATTTAATAGGCACAAAAATAACGACAATATTAATATACAGAACTCTTACCCCAGGTCATTTAGGCATCAGTAAAGCTCAATTTTGACAGAGTGCAGCATAATCGGCTTAAAGAAATTTTATTAAATAAAAACAGACAGTAGAGACATTAGAATCATATGTAACCTCTATTGGAACCAAACAGAAAAAGTGAAAGTTGAAAATGAACTGACTGTGGGCGGACTGTGGGGTCCGCCAGGGGTGTATTTTATCACCCTTGTTATTCAATTTATACAGTTAACCCATCTCAGAATTAGCGCTTGCCGAGGTCAGTGAGTGCCTTATAATAAATGGTGAGCCACTTAATAACATAAGATATGCTGACTACACTGTCTTTCTGGCAAGAACACTGGAAGAACTGCAACACCTTGCTGAAAAACTAAATATATATTGCAACGATTATGGACTAAAAATAAATTTGAAAAAAACAAAGTTCATGGTATTTGCAAAAGCACAAAACATCAAAGTTAAGCTAGTACTAGATAATACAGAAATTGAACAAATATCTTCGTACAAATACCTTGGAGCATGGATCACAGAAGATACTGATCAGACAAAAGAAATAAGATGCCGCATTGAAATTGCACGGTCAACTTTTAATAGAATGAGAAAACTTTTTTGTAATCGCGATATCAATATATTGCTCCGGATAAGAAGGCTTCGATGTTATATTTTCTCTACCCTTTTGTATGGGGTTGAAGCTTGGACACTTAAAAATCCAACATTAAAATCCAAGAAGCATTCGAAATGTGGTGTTACTGACATATTTTGAAAATATCATGGATGAATCGCAAAACAAATAAACAAATTCTCGAACAACTAGGAAAACAATGTGAAGTTTTAAATTCCATAAAAATCAGGAAATTGGAATACTTGGGGCACATCATGAGAGGTGAAAAATACGAGCTACTAAGGAATATAATGCAGGGTAAAATCAAAGGCAGAAGAAGCGTAGGATGACGTAAAATCTCGTGGCTACGCATTCTCCGTGAATGGTTTGGATGCAGTTCAATTGAACTATTCAGGCGTGTAACCAACAAAATTATAATTGCCAGAATGATTTCCAATCTCCGATAGGAGCGGAACTTGAAGAAGAGAAGAAAGCTCAATACTTTTTTCTAATAATAAAAATTATTTATTTCAAAAAATATTGCTTAGCTGTGAATAAAATACTAAATTTCCTATACCACATAAATTCGTCTAGTAGGTGATTGCATATAAAAAACGTAAAAACATAAGTACCTTGTATGGGTTACCAGTATTTCCAAACTAGGAATTTCGCAAAATTTGAACTGCTAATTTACTTACTAAACTTACTTAACTCAAAAATAGGTACCTTTCAGCCAAATCTTGGGTTCTAAAGTTATTCTAAACATAGAATGTATGGTTTTGCAAAAAATCCTTATTTAGATCTATAATATGCCAATTCTGTCAATAAACTTACTGAGTCGAAACTCTACTCTTTTTGCATTGGAAGGAGACTTGAAGGTAGCACAGTTTGAAACTGTTTTCCAGACTATAAAATCATTCTAACACTTGACTTAGTTTTGGCTTATCTGACTGTGGTTTGATTATATATTCAACAATAGGGTTAATTAAATTAAACAGCTTTAACAATCCTACTCAAAATACATTTTCATCTAAAACTAATTTTTTACTCGCTCGCTCACTCAATATACTATCCACAGTCTCACGAACTGCTAAAGCTTTTAGGACATATTTTGTCTTAAGAAGATTTTTCAAGCTGTTGATAATTGATTCCCAAAGAGTTTTCACAGGTAATTTTAGCGCTATTGGTACAGTTGTCTCCTCCTTTCAGTCTGTGTAGACCACACTGCTAAAAGCATTTTGATAAAATTACCGACGAGAATTTTCTCCCTAAAAATTACTCGTTGACTAACATTTTCGTGTTTTACCTTTCTTCTAGAAATAATAAGATCGTTTACCAAGATTTAAATTTGCTTACTTATAGTCATATTAAAATTATTTTATATTGTCATTTAACAACCACATTATGTATTACTCATAATTTTTGTTTTTGTTTGTTTCAGAACTTTTTTAGACTTCATAGACTCCGCAAACTCGGTCTAAGCGATAATGAAATCAACAACTTGCCGCCAGATATTCAAAATTTCGAACATCTCGTGGAATTGGATGTCTCCAGAAATGGTAAGTCCACAATATCAACAAAAATTTATCTGCTTCTATATATAAACAACTTGTTTCTCGTTTCACCAGTACCTGCTCGCAAAAAACCTGTTTGAAGTTATTATTATCCCATTCAACTATGCAACTATATTGACAACTTGAATGTGTTTGTATTTAGTTTTTAATTAATTGCCAAGAATGAGTGTCGCAACAGTTATTTTGAACTTTTGTAAGAACTATAATTGCTTTAGATCGATCTTTTATTGGTTATGTACGATTTTTAATAAGTACGCGAACTATTGATAAAATTATAGTGGTAAGCAAAAGTGAAAAACCTAGAAATACTAATTAAACGCTTACATCTTTGAAGATGCACTATTTGCAATATCTAGACTAAAATATAGATTGAAGATCTTTTAAAGAGTTATAAATTGTATACATTTCCAGAAACTAAATTACAGACCATCTATTTTTTCATATTGTTGAATAAATTAAGCACATTTTGATGGCTGTTTTTCTGCCAATGAAGTTCGTGGTTTTTTTTCGTTCATTCTTTTAGAAGTTATTTTGCCCTCTTCTTTGATTCTTTAAATCAGAATTGCCCTTATACAATTGTGGAGAGTTTACCTTTTGTAATAAATTTTTATGTATATTTTTGTGTATATGACGATTTTCATTTGAAGCATTAGTATTTCGCCAAACTTGCATGTAGCTACATTTTATTTGTTTGCAACTGACAGCTCATTACAAATTCAACTCTTCACTAATCTTGTCGAGAACTTGTAATCTTTTTAAATACCCATACTTTTGAAACGGTATAATTTTCGTTTAGCCAGGTTTCATCTAAATATAAAATGTATCTTCCTCCTAATCTAAATCTTTTTATCGTTATCAAATATTGCCTTCGCCAGCAAAAATCTCTTCTTCTTCAAAAGTATCGTTCAATATAGGGTTTTTCTTTGATTTTCATAGCAAAATCGATTTCTTTAAGTAATTTTCATAACTTATCTCGGCCAAAGTGGGAAAAATTATTATCTCCTATTATCTCCTTTAATATTGTACCAATGTAGAAATCTACTTGTTTACATAGATCGAATGAACTTTTCTCAGAAGGACGTTTCTATGAAAGTCATCAATTTCCATTGGTTGTTTTCCTTCACCTCTTTTCATCATCATCTTGGTACTACAGCCCTTAGAGGGCCTCTACCTTCTCAAGCTTTCTACGCCATTCTGTTCTGTCCCTTGCTTGCATTTTTCAGTTGCCGACTCCGATCTTCTCGGTATCTTGTGTTACCCCTTCTGCATCTTCTCATTCCCACAGGTTGCGGTGTTAGAATCTTTTTTATCATGTTCGATTCAGGGGGCAGGGCTACATGTCCTGCCCACTGCAGGCGGTTTCGCTTAATTATAGTGGTAATATCTTTACCACCAAACGTATGCTTGTAGATATTCTGTAGTTCAAATTTATATCTACGCCTCCATATTCCGTTCCCACAGACCGCTCCAAATATCTTGCGTAGCACATTTCTTTCAAAAATCGATAGAGCGGATTCATCTGTTTTAGTTAGCGTCCATGCCTCTGATCCATATGTGAGAACGGGGACTATCAGTGTTGTATAGAGTCTTGGACGAATTTTTTGAGACGTTTGTTAGCTAAGTACTTTGATAGACCATGATAACACCTGTTTGCAATTATTATTCGGCTTTTTATTTTCTCAGATATGTTATTATTGGGGTTAATCGATGTCCCTAGATATATGAACTCTTTGACTGCTTCGAAGTTTTGGTCATTGATGATTAAATTTGCGTCAGCATTTCCAGCTCTTGTGTTTGTGTTAGTCGCCATGAATTTGGTTTTATTTTGATTTATATGTAACCCCATTCGTTCTGCTGCTGCTACTAGCTCGGTTAGGATTTCCGCAGTTCTCGCCCTGGTTCTTGTTATAATAATGTCCACGTCGTCTGATATGCTAGAATTTGGACTGATCTATTAAATATTGTTCCCCTGCTATCTAAATTAGCGTCTCGTACATTTTTTTCTAAGGCGACATTAAAAAGCTGACACGCCAGCGCGTTTGTCGTACATATGAGTTTTTTTGGAATTCGTAACTCATAGCGTTGTAAAGACGGTCATAAGACACTATCATATGCCGCTTTATAATCGACAAAATATAATACATATATCTATGTGAAACTCTTGCGCTTTTTTGAGGATCTGTCGTAGTGTAAAGATCTGGTTAATGGTTTAACGTCCACGCCTGAATCCTGACTGATATTCTGTTAGAAACGTTTCGGTATAAGGCTTCAATCTTTCGTGCCAAATGTTTGACAATATCTTGTATGATGTATTTAGGAGAGTTCTCCTAAAATCCTTTGATGATATCCTCTTTATTGGCAAGTAAGTTACCTTCCTTATCATTACAATAGTTGATTCTCGGTTTGAATTCTTTTCTAATATTTATTTTATGATAGAACTTACTTGTTTCTTCGTGACTCATATGGCTTTCGAGCCGTTCTAATATGTCATTTTCCGAGTCTCGTTTCTTTTTTCGAAGTATGCGTTTTTCCTCTCTCCTTAAGTTTTTGTATCTATCTATTGTTGTCCTAGTTTTCCGTTGTTGCATGGTCCTAAATGTCTCGTTCTTCTCATCTGTTATTTTTTGCAGTCTTGGTCGAACCAGTCGTTTTTTTCTTATGTTTGGGATATTCTACATGTGCTTTCGGCTGCTAATTTCAGAGCCTCCTTACAGTTGTTCCACATTTCCGTGCTTGACTGGTCGACTGTCCAGATGTGTTCTAGGGTTTCTTTTATATGTGACTGGAACTGTTTCTCTTTGTTTTCATTTTTTAGCATATATAAATTATATTTTACTTGTCTAGTGCCCCTTTCTTTCTTGGCATTGGAAATTCTTTGTCGTAACTTGGCCCCTATCATGAAATAATCTGAGTCAATATTTGCGCATCTGTAACTTCTGGCGTCCATTAGGTTTGTACAGTGCCTTCTGTCAATTATAACATGGTCAATTTGATTTGTGGTGTGTCCATTTGGTGATATCCAAGTTGCTTTATGAATATTCTCATGACTAAAACATGTACTTCCCACAATTAAATCTTTGGCACTATCTAAATATCGTTTTTGGCACAGTTATCATATGCTCTTTCGAGGTCTTCGTAGAATAGATCTTTAATTTCTTCGTCTTTTTCCTCGGTTGGTGCGTGCACGTTGATCAGGCATATGTTGAACAATTTTCCTTTTATTCGAAGGATGCATAACCGATCATTTATGGCTTTAAAACCAATAATACAATTTTTGATTTTCTTTGATACTAGAAACGTGGTTCCGAATTCATGTCGGTTCGGGTTGCAGCTGTAATATATATCATGTTCTTCTCATCTCATCTCTTCAATGGCTGCAATGTCTATTCTATTCACCTCTTTTAGGCTCAGTAATTTTTCCTTGTCTTCTTTCACTTAAAAATCTGTAAATAGTTCTGTCTTAGCTGAGCACATAGTGCCCTCATTAGTAACCGTTGTTAAAGGTTGTTGATGAACAAGGAAGTCATGAACATTTAACACAATAGTTTGTTTTCTCAGATAATACGCGTCGTTTTTAAGTTTAGCACCAACAAATTAAAAAGATGATGTTTTACGCATGGGTTGAACTGCCAACTGATAAAACGGACGGTATCAAATTCGTCACTTTTCCTTACTCGGTCGGCAGGTAGCTCAAAGATGATTTGACAAATTCGTCAAGATACAACTTTTACAAAATCCGTGCTTTTTATTATTATTAGTCAGAAGAGTTTTTAATTTGTAATTAAAAAAAAACGTATTGGTTTTAACTGCATCCGTACGGCAGTGGTTTATGACCTTGACGGTAAACCGTGATGATCTGACATGAGAAATGAATGAGCTACCAGTTGCAAGCAAATCGACTTTACTCTGTAGTAATACTCTGGTTTTTTCAACGATTTCATTTTGTTAGAAACATACACACACATTAAAAATATTACTTTGTTGTTGATAATCTGTTACATTATAACTTTCTTCTTTACTTCAGTGTAAAAATGATATATTAAATTCAACAAAATTAATTTGGAACGTAACAGCAACCTCCTTATTGTAGGTATCACCGTATCATTTTTATTACCGAGAAATCGTCGACGACAAACACATTCCATATAAATAATGCAATAATGGCAATGCGATTCAATGTACGCCTTTTGAAAGTAAATATCAACAATCCTCTTACATAATTCATGTATGATAAACCGTTTCTTCGGAATCATTGACCAATTATTTTATTGACGACCAAAAACAACGCAAATATTTATTGTTCATTGGTCGCAAAATATCTTCCCGGGACTATTTTCACTTACTTTAATTTTATCATAATTGTGTGATAAAGGATGAATCATTGTCTCAGTGGGGTACCTATAAGGAGAAAGGAAGTTATAAATGTATTATGTTGTATTTAGCTCCAAAGATCTGTTGTCCGTCGACAAATTCAAACAAAATTCCAACCTAAGTCTCTTTATAGATGCAGGAAGTTTGGTGATTTGCCGATTGAGCAATATTTATAATTATATTTTCTACATTTATATATTTATAAACAACTTCAAATTAGAATCTGGAGTTACCTAATTAAAAAGTGGGGCAACGATAGGAGGAAGAAAAATCAAAACAGTGGTATAAGGTTGAATGCTCGAATATGCCCTTTGGATAGGCCAAATTTGACGAAATTCCCCTGAAGATGCTCTGGGAGCGAAAGTACTTTCAGCAAGGAGCAAGATTTAATAAATAAACTGTGCTTGATATCTGCCTTTTATTGATAAAAAAATCAAAAACCTACGTTATGCTCATGACACTGTTACATTGGCGTCATCACCAGAAGAACTGTAACCGACGACGTGTGGACCTTAGCCGCAACGACCAAACGTCGACGGCCGCGGCTTAAGGCGCGTACAGATATGCGAGCCAAACGGTATACGAACGGTACGCGTACAGCTCGTTGAAAATAT